ACTGCGGGGAACCATGCAAAAAACGCATCTTCGCACGGGCAGCCCGTGCGTTGGCCAATTTTTTTTGTTTAATATCGTTTCCGACAGAAAATAGTACCGCTGCATCATAATCAGTGAGAAACAGAAATCTGGCTGTTGGATGAACGCTAAGCGCCAGTTTTCCCAGACGATTACTTGGCTCGAATACTAAACGACCAATACAGTGCCAGTTTTCAGTGTCATAAAGTTGAATCCGTTTCCCGCTTTCCATTGAAATTACAGCGTATTTCCAGAATTGATCCCTGCAAAAGAAATAAGACATTTTGTGTAAAAAAATTTTGACTAAATATCATTTTCTCAGAAAAAAATCAAATAAGCAGACAACGATGAACACACTTTGTATAGGCTAAGCAAGTGAATGCAGCCAGAAAGAAGCATACGATGTATCCGACCCGCTGATGTTATCAAGGAAGACCAAATCCTGGACATCTCGACCGCGTTCTGGTTGCCACCGATGCGCGAATTTTGTCCCTTCATTATCCATTATGAAAAACGAAACAATTCCGCCATCAAGAGCCACTGCAACAGCTGTTGTATCCGGGCTCAAACAAACCGCCTGCACTTCCTGAATTATGAGTCATAGTTCAACATCACCAGCATTCCTTCTGCCTCTTTTTCTTTAAATAAAGAAATTTGTTAAAAATCAATCATATGAAAAATAAAATGAAAAAAAGGCAAAGACGATGAGTGAAAAGATATTTTCCGGAAGCAGATTGCATAAAATACTGTTCAGCGCTTACTGTAAAGCTCGCTTATTGTTTCAGCAAGTGCGCTACGATGGAACGATGTTGACCAAGACAGGTAACGCTAAACTTACAAATGAGATACACCATTTTGTCCATCAAATGTAGCTCTAACGTGTTCTCTTCCCCCTATGATTACGGATAAGTGAAAAGGGCAACAGCACAGTGGCAAAAGGGGTGCAGTACATTAACGTACTGTTGTGACGATAAATTCGGAAGTAATAAAAAACTAAATCACTAATCACTACCAGAATGATTAATAGTTTATGTAGCTATAGTCAAAGAAACAGTAGAAAAATTTCCAAATGCCTTGATGCAATGAAGGAAATAAAACAACAACTGACTAGACATTTCAGGCGCAAACGCTTAAAACTTCAGATGCAGCGGTTGCGAGGCAAAATAAGCCTAGCAGCTCCTAACTCAAAGTCTGTCTGCTTTTAAATATGTAACTAGTAGCTCTACCAATAAAGCACTACCCGCTGCTCAATCTGCTATCGATCCTAACATTCGCTAAATCGTTTTTAGAAATTACCATTACGATGATTCTCCCGAAAAAATCGCTGGCAAGGCTTCAGTTATTTTGAGAAGTACCTGGTATGCCCTCAGCATCATCACCTCGTCCCAAAAGCTGCTACTCCTACAGCATGAGGATACCCCACTAACTAGGAAATAAAACAAGATGAAATGATGTTTTCGGTTTCTGGCAACTAGCAGTGCTGCTTCCTCGACTGAAATTAGCTCTTCTTAAATTTAGTTTAATCACTCAATTTAACTATTTTTTTCAAATTGCAACTCCGTCGAGGTGGCTTTCGCGCAATCACTGCAGCTGTGAACCGTACTATGTCTGCTATACGGTTGCATCAGTCCATAGTATCCGTGCACATTCTCGTGTTTGTCTTCGTCTTTTCCATAACAGAGATGCTAGTAACAACAGTGAATACATCCAATAGCGACGCAGTTAGCAAGAAATGCAGGATTCAACAACAGTGTGCCTGCTTAGAAGTATGGTAAATAACTGGCCAACGCACGGGCTGTCCGTGCGAAGATGCGTTTTTTGCATAGTTTCCCGCAGTT